GGCTCAGTCGGTTAAGCGTCTGCCTTCAGCTCAGGTCATGATCCCAGGGTCCTGGGATCAAGTTCCGCATCGGGCTCCCTGCTCCGCGGGGAGCCTGCTTCTCCCTCTGCCTCTGCCTCTCTCTCTCTCTATCTCTCATGAATAAATAAATAAAATCTTCAAAAAAAAAAGAATATTCTATCCAACAACAACAATATACTTTCCTCCAGCTAACAGGAAACATTCTGGGCCATAAAACCCACCTTAACAAATAAAAAAACAAAATCGAAATCATATAAGCTCTGCTTTCACATCACAATGGTACTAAATTACAAGTCAATGACAGAAAATTGGAACATCCCCAAATATCTGGAGATTGAACAGCACACTTTTAGATAACATTTGGGGCAAGGAAGAAGTCTCAAAAAAAAAATAAAAAACATTTTGAACTGAATGAAAATAAAAATAAAACTTACCAAATGAGTACCATGTAGCAAAGGCAGTGCTTACAGGGAAATTTGTAACATTAAATGCATAGATTAGAAAAGCAGAAAGATCTAAAGTCAGCCTTTCAAGCTGCCTCTTTAGGAAATGACAGAAAAGCAATTTAAGCTCAAAGCAAGCAGAAAAAAAGACACAACAAACTGGTGCAGAAATCAATGAAATCATAAACAGGAAAACAATAGAGAAAAACAACAAAATCAGGGGCTGGTTCTTTGAAAGATCCATAAAGTTGATAAACATCTAGTCAGGCTAAAATCGTGAAGGGTAAGATGGGTACAGATGTCCTGCGTCTACCAGCAATGCCAAGTTCACTAGCATCATCACGGAAAACATAACAAAACAACAATTAAAAGAGGAAAAATAGGGAACGGAGGAAATGCGGCTTTATTTCACTTAGGCTGTCCTTGTTTTAGTTGAAAAGCTAGAGTAGCAGCCTTGAGAGGTCTAATGGTTCCTGTTTTTGAAGACCAGAAGGGCAGTGTTTTATTCAACCAGGAAGTGTTTTCCAGAGGGAATTGGGGTACAGCAACCAGCACTCCCCACTTCCTCGCGTCTCACACCTTCCTCAGGTCTCACACTTGTGAATCTGCCTTCTGGACGGGCCTTCCACGGTTTCTCTAAGTTTTCTTTTTTTTTTTTTTTTTAAGATTTTATTTATTTATTTGAGAGAGAGAGAAT